AAAAAAAAAAAAAAAAAAAAACCAAAATTCAGCACCAGAAGCTCAGACAAGAAGAGAAAAAGAGCAATAATTATCTTTCTAAATTAAGGAAATAGCAAAATGAGATGAAAGAGATTAGGCTATACTCGACTGGGAACTGAGCCCCACCAGCTGTGTAGAGAAAAGTAAATGGTTTCTCAAGATTCTGAGGTAGTAGTGGCAGCTTGCTGGAGTCTTCGTTGATGTACGTCCCAATTGTATACACGAGCAATGGTAACCTGGCCAATAGCATTTGCAACGATAAAAACTATGGCAAACTGAAAATGCCACAAAAACAATTGGAAGTGGTTTTACGTGATCTATTCTAAATAGAGGCATATTTTCATACGCCCTTGAAAATTCAATACAAGTAAATTGCTCTTCATTTCACATGGGGCGTGTGGACTAATGATACTTTACAAATGAAACTGATCGTAAGATAATAATAATAGAAATAACCGTAAGCCATTCTTTACTCTTTCATACTATGTGGGAAGAACTTTTTCCCATTAAAAACTTCCTAGAATGTACAAGGAAAATGCCACCATTACCTGAGTAATTGTCACTTGATCCCTCAAAAATTGTAGATCGGCGACAAGAACTTCTAAACTTGCTTTGGCATTTTCTAAATTTTTTTGAAGGAGGGCCATTGCCTGCAGAAAAGTTTTCAAAAACTCATAAATAAAGGGTAAGTAGTGCAGAAAAGACCAAGTTAAATGCCTTTTTGGATAATAATATATTTACCTCTTCACGTGAATATTCCAGCATAACATTTGCTCCAAGCCATAGGCACACAGAATCAGTATCTTCAACGTGAGCCCTGGAATATATGCCTTCTGACACTTCAAAATCGGCAGTAAGTGCCTGCAATCAAATTATAAGGCCAAGAACACAAACATCTCAAAGTTCAAAGTAAATGTCATTATGCAATAATTACTCTAAAAACAAGAATGGAGCACCAGATAGGTTTTGGCTGAATAATTAACATGCGGCTACTTGGTCTATTCACTACAGACTGTCCATCCATGCATATGTCAGATTTTACTCGAGCAATGAAAAGTGAACTTTTGTGAACAGCATAATATGACATATTCGCTCGTATGTTTGTATGCTTTACTGCCATGAAATTCAGTCCATTATGACCAAATCTATATTTATTAGGGATCTAGAGAATGTCCAAACAATCTGGATGACTACCTTTTGGCCTATGATAAACTACATGGCATCAACATTAACACCCATTAGCCACTAGCTGAGCCAGAGCTATTTAAAAAAGAAAATGTATCATGTTCAAAATAATAAAATGGCTCAAGGAGCAAAAGTCAGGATTCTTAAAGTTTCACCAAGTAGATGATGTCTGAGAAATGATTTCGGCAGATATGTACTTGAAAATGTAAAATATTGATGTCGTCAACCTAATACATATATAACAGTAATGCAGGTTTCTGATCTTGTAATGATAGTTTAGTAATTCAGTATTCCTCACTAAGTAATGGTACAAATGATGACGAGGAGGAAATATTACAGAAAGTGTTATGGCTTGTATACAATACAAATTAAAGAATTTTAATGCATATTGAAACATGGGAAACAATTATATTGTATACAATCTCCCCCGATCTTTCAAATGATTTAATTAATTTGAACTTCTATTTGCAGTGCAGTAACAAACTTATACACGTTACAAACCTCAGCCTACATATATGATAAGAACCAACACCTCCACAATGGAACAGCAGCAATACTTATCAAATCAACAGAACAGCTTAAATAAATAGATTTTGTATTTCTACTTAGAAAGACAGAATATACATCGGATAGAAAGAATAAAATGTTGGCCGACATTCCATATATCTAAGAAATGCTTAACACTAGAAAAACTAACCTCACCAGTACCCTTCTTAGCTTGCAAAGTTGCAACCACGTCTAGGCACTTCTCAATGTCAGGAATCTTTGCCTGTTACATTGATTATTAATAACTGAAAATATCAACCCAAAATTTTAAAATAAGAAATGGATGTAAGAAATAACAAGGAAACACAACGTGATCGAGCCTAAATTGCAAATTTATGAAGGTGGGAATTGGCAGGCTGTGAATGATGACTTCAGGGATTCCAATGATAGAGTTAAAAAGAAAAGAAAAGAAAAGAAAAGAAAAAAATAAAAATAAATAAATAAATAAATTCATGCTGATGTAAAGTGCAAGACTTCAGACAAGAAGGCCTCAATAATACTAGACAACAAAAAATGTCAAGCCAGTAGTTTATATCTTTATGAATCATCATCCATTGCAAAGGGAAGAATGCAATTCATGGTCCACTAAAATCAAAAGCATATTCATTTCCTAAGAAATTTAAAATAAGTTGAGCCTAAATAATGGAATCAAGGAATTTTTTTTAACAAGAAATAAAAATGCAAAACGACTTAGTATACCTGAAGGTCCCTCTGCTGAGCAAGAAGTTTCATCTCTACTACCCTGTACTGCTGAAGCCTGACAAATGTTCAATGTACAGTTAGGAACTAAATAAAAGAAAAAAAAAAAAAAACATTCCCAAGCTAGAAATAAACAAATTCGTTTGAAGAAAAATCATTTGTCATAATATAGTCATAATATATCATGTCCAATTGCTGTATGGCTCAAAAACAATCATCCAGCACATTAGAGTTCAACTTAAGCCATTATTTTGTACAAGAGTTGCATTTGTCACTCACAGAGAAAACAACATAATTACAAAAATATGTGTTATATTTTTCGGTAAAAATCTATATAGTACAATAGCAAGTAAAACCTTATTCCTAGTGAACATGTGATAGACTACATGTATCAGTTACTGTAGCTCCATTTAATCTAGCAGTATATATTATGAAAGGTCCAATAAAATCAAATATTTGTAACCACATCTCCATTCCACAGAACTTGTCTTTCATCTTATGGATACTTTGTCCAATAGAAACTCAACACCTAAGCATACAAAGTATAGTTGGTCTAATAACTATTCTGTAAAAAACTTGTTATCTATCTCGTGATCACATAAATCCTTACAGTGATTCTCTATTTTGTGCAATCCGCTAGCATTTTATGCACCCCCTTTTAGTTTTTTAATACTCAATAACTGAACCTAAACACCTAAATTAAAAACTATTGGGATAACACGATCCCCTATTGTCTCCATGGTCATAATTATTCCTAATATGATTAAGAGGACATTTTTTTATTCAGTCCCAATTCTAGTTAATCTAAAACCTTTATATACTAAAGTGCTGCAAAATTTTAACTTACAATTAGCACTCTAGTAATCTAAGCAATCAAAACTATATCTTCAGCAACAAACATGCACCAAAAGACCTAATTACAAAGTAAAGCAAAAAAAGGACTTTGGGTTAAGCATTGATACAAAACTTATACACTATACTCTATAGGGATATGAAATTCTTCTAATCCACGAGGTCTGTCATAGAGACCACCATAATATATCATAATAAATCATAGGCAAATTTTATTTCTTTTCTATTTATAATAATTTTCTATCAATATCTGAAATATCTAAGCGACCTCCACAGAAAATATCTCTTGCATGAAAACCAAACCCTCTGATATATCCAGATGACACCAAAATCTATACCAAATTTCCTTCATAGCATCTCATCAACTTCCCTTTTTCTCCATTACGAAAATCGCCAACATTTGAAGAGTTTGCGCAGGGTGAAGCACACAAATGTATCTTTTTTGATCACCATGTCAGTTACTTTTTCCAGATTTATATATACATTTTGAACCTAGGTTAATATCTGGGCATCAATCAGAGAGCAATGACATTTGGACAAGTTTATAACCAGTCAGCTTCAAAGACATGCTTGCTAAAACCATAATTTGATATTCACTATGTCAAGTAAATATTTGACACAAACCATTAGTTAATTGGGGAAAGATACAAATTTTACTCATCATTCAGGCTTATCTCAAAGTGGCATCAAACTAGTTCTACATCAGAAGAAGCCATATAAATTCTAAAATGTAGGATTACATGCAAGGAAAACAGTCTGTAAAAATTATTTTAAACTAATGGTAAAATAACTTTTAGACATAGAAAACCAAAATAACTAACTAGACTAAATTTGAAGGGAGAAAAGAACTACAGAAGTTCAATAAAAATGTTATGAGGTCAAAGAGATGAAAATGAACCCAAAAAAGTGAATATTCACACAAAAACAAATTGGAGCTTGATAGTCAAATAAAACGTGTGAAGTTCTTATTAAATTTGCCTTTGGCCTCATTTGACATTCAAGAAGCTACTCATCACATGTAGCATAGGCTAAGTATATCATACTTACTTTTAGCCTTTACTTATCATTCATATGCACCTTGGAGCTAGCTAGAGCCTATTAAGGGTATTCTTCATCAGATCTTTGTCATAAAGGATCACAAGTGATCAGTTCGCAAGTTTCTTTGAGAGCAAAATGAAGGGATATAGAGAATTCCTTATAATGTTCAAAAACACACTATAGCCGTAACAAAATTCATTGACATGTGTCTCCTACTTCAAAATTCTATTAGAAAACGAGTTACACAGATTGCTTGTTCACACATATCCATGCTCGACAAAAGCAGATACTTGTTTGCTGTGAATGTGATGCTCAGACTCTTGTTTTCGGCTGGCATACCTGTGTCGACACGATACGACATGGGTACGGATACAAGATACGGGATGGACACATCAATTTTCAACCGGATACGGCAACCTCGGAAGCACCGACTGTCTAGGCGAGGAAAAAGAATTATTCGCGCATTGATTTCAGCCAGTGACAGAGGAAGAACCGTTTATGCTGTGATTTCCATCGATTTGAGTTTGCGAGGAGGATGAACAGTACAGAAAAAGTTTATAGGATGAATTGTAAATGAAAAAGTGAAATAAACTTTAGTTTTGTAAGATTTGAATTACATTTTTACCCTTAATTAAAAAACAAGAGAGAGGTATTCTAAATCTAAAAAAGGAAGCAAACTTATTATCATTTAAATTTACGATTATCCTCAAATTAAAAATTCAACTAAATGTATTTGTTATTTAAGTATTTATATATGATGCAATAAGTATAAAAACATAATTAATTTAGACTATTAAATTAAAAAAAGTTTAAAAAAATATATTTTAATCAACAAGTCGACAACGTAACATGTCGAAATTTTTTCTAAATATCGTAAATCGATGTGCTCACGTATCCGTGTTCGAAATTTGAACTCTTTTTAATCATGTCCCCGTATCCTACATTTTTAAAAATAAATGATTTGATACTTGGATACATACCCGTACTCGAGTTCGAGCATCATAGTTGGTTTGCTCCACTTCATCCATACAGCCGACAACAATAGTGCATCATAGTAGGGAACACATTTCTGTTGAATAGCTTACTTAAAGACCAAAAGTGAAGGAAATCATTCCATAAAATGAAGAAGGTGCCTATTTGACTATTAAACAAGGGATATTTTAGCACACTCACCAAGGACTCCATGCACCAGTAGCATGAAGAAGTGTATGCCATTTGTAACTGATTATACTATCTGGACATTAGATATATTTTTCTCAACAAGATTCGAAAGGCATGATTATGCAAAAAAGGCCAAAATGATAGTAAAAGTATGGAATGACTTTAATTTGGTATCTTATATACTTTAATTTGGTATCTTATATACTTTCTTGTCATGATAAAACTTATAAATTTTACGAATAATATTTGCTCCATCCATGTCAAATTCTTATCGAACAAATGAAGAACGTGGTTCATGATAACTAGCAAATGTCAACGGAAAGTCTTCCTTCGTTAGAATAGTTTATTAGGTCGCATGATATCTCAAAACCTAGAACATTTTATCTTGTTGATCACAAAAGTAAAAAGGAGATTAAATCACTTACATGTGTTGTTAATCATCATTTGTCATCTTAACATATTTGTTTAATCATCAAGCCTTATTGAACTCACTATCTTAGTGCAAACCACTACCTTACATCAATCAAAAAGTACATGGCACGAGGGCAAACCATATGATTAACAGAGTTTGAAAGTAACAATAAAGTGGTCAATCCAGAATGTATCAAAATGAAGAATGCAAGCTCTAAACAGTATGAATTCAACAGAAAGGATGAGGATAATAGTTAATTTCGTATTAGATTAAAACATCAAACACTTCAATTATTTGATTTTAATGTTAAGATAGACACTTAGTTATCTTAAATAAATAAGAGTGCAAATAAGTTGTGTGTCAAAAAGTAGACTCGCACCAATCACTAGAGGATAAATTAAGTGAAGAGAAAACATAGTAGACCTTCTAAATTTAGAAATCACGTGATAAATGCATAATTTTGGACTCGCCTGAGGCAAGATTTTAATATTACATAATCTCTCTCAAGTAGGATTTGAACGTATGACAAATTGGTAATACGTACTTGTTGGTTAAATGATATACAATAAAACTATTCAGTATGCACATGGAAATTTTTGCCAATTACAACGTTAACAATACATGCATCCCCAAATCTCAGGAAAATAAGAAGGGTAATAGGCAAGGCATTAGTTTGATTGCCATATGTACTTGAAAGGTGGTCTCATTCATTCTCTATTGTCTAATGTGATAACAACTTGATAGTAGTTGGAGGCTATCTATCCTAACTTTGAGTTCAATTTCATGATCAAGTACATTGATCCAAGAATTTCATAAACATGACATATAAAAGAATTTGTTACTAAACATTTATTTCCAATTTGATTAATAAACCAAGAACATAAACAATTACTCCAAATACTTGGAAAACACATTATTTCAGTTGCCACGTGAATTCCGAGTGATTTGCCTGACCCTAATGCATTAAACTAATGCATTGTGAGTCTAACAAAATTTAAGCAAAAATAATTTTACTTCATCTTGGAGAGCCTTTCAATCATGAATTTTAAACCTGCTCTCAAATTTCTCTTCATATCCGTAGGAAGCATTTTCCTTGTGCAACTGATATCCACATTTTCAGAAACCTTGAACTGAATTATCATAACTTTAAACGTACAAAATTTAGAATGCAAAAGAGTGTGACAGGCCAAATTCACTAAAAATAATTATTTTTCCCAACTGAACATTATGAAATGTGCAAAAACCTTCAAGAACCCTACTTTGTGGTATAATCCTAATTCTGTGTAACTTCTATAGTTCAGTCAAAATCCAATATATTCTTTACATAATTGGAAAAGAGTATTTAAACTAATGGATGTGCTACACGTTCATAATGGTTTACATACACATGACGTGGTGAGATAAAATTAAATCAGAATTTTTTCAACCAAATAAAATGGAAAAATAAACTTCTCCACTCTCATTTTGACTCATTATTTGTATGTAAACCATTATGTACAATAAACATTATTCTTAAACTAAAGACTTCAAAGACCTTGTTTTTTTTTTTTGTTTTTCAGTAAATACTTCAAAGATGAAACGCATTAACAAGATTAATAAAAAATGAATTATTTTCTTACTGAGCATAATAATATGATAAAAAAACTTCCAAAAACCCAACATTGCTGTGTAATCTAATTCATGTCGTAACTTCTATGGTTTAATCAAAATTCATTACATAACACTACATAGATGAAACGCATTAATAAGTAAATATTAAGTAATAGACTGCCCTAAATCACTGAACGAAAAATAATCTCAACTAAACCCACTTAAATATTTACTGATCACATCACAATCTCTATCATAAACACTGCACAAAGGGATATAGTAAAGACGGAAAACCTTTCTTGTAGGAAAGCGAGAGCCGAATTGACATCTAGACCGATTTGAGAAAGGTAAATCTGGACGTCTTCCACGAAGGAAGCCGCAGGAATTCCTCTTCTCTCCGGCACACTTGCTGACGGGGATGCCGACGCTGCCATTTTCCAAAGCTTATATGAGCCTATTCGAATATACAGTATATATCGATGATAAATATCTGCAGCTTCTGCTTATTCTTCGAGGGTTTCTGCTTATTTTTGCTCTTTTGTTATCGCCGGCGGTGGGTTGAAGAAAAGCTTGTGCAGTTTTAGCATCAAGTCGCAAAATCAGTTCACGCGATTTAAGTGCCCATTTGGTAGCTTTGGCCTTTTGCGAACTTAAGATTGTGGATGTGGGCTTAGCCCCTGTTTGGTCCATTAATTTTTATTACATTACATTATATTTTTCTTTTTTTCATTTTCAGTTACACAATTTTTCAGAAAAAATATTATATGTAAATTAAAAAAATTTCCTTCTTTTTCAATCACTCACTTTTGAAAAAAAAAATTATTCCTTCCATTTTTATTTCCAAAAAATGGGGCCAAACGGGGGTTAAAAGGGACTTTTGAAAGCCAAAAATTACATTTTGATCCATTTAACTAATTTTATAAAAATAATTTTTCTAGTTGAAAATACTTTTAGAAAATGGAAAAATACATATAGGAGTGGGCAAAAAATTCGATGAAATCGGTCAAATCAAATCGAGTCGAGTCGGCTTGAACCAAAAAATCATTTTGATTCAGTTAATTTTAACTATTCATAAGTTGGGTCGAATTAGCTTTGATTTAAGCAACAAACCCATCAATTAACCATCCTAACTCACTTATACATTTTAAAAAAAATTTTAAGTTCATTTTTTAAACTTAAAAAAAGAAAATAATAAAAACATAAATATAATTTTTTTCTCAAATAATTTATTTACCGTTTATACTTTTCTACCAAAATTCCAAACTTCAAATTCAAATCGAAGACTAGCTTTTCATTTTGGTGTAATTGTTTGTTGATAATTATACTATTTACATTATATATATATATAGGAAAGAAAATTTTTAACACAAAATAATTAG